AAGATATAGCCTCTTGAGTAGTAGAACCTTTGATTTTTTGTTTTATGGTATTTCTGTGTGTAAGTGCTTGCCCTGCCACAGCCACTAACATTACATAAAAGCCAACAGCGTGTTCTACAGGGACAACACAAATCCAAAGGAGGCTGTTGGTCACAAACAGTCATTATTTAATGCTGGTTACATCTGTATAAGGTAACAACAGCACATCCTATATGGGATTGTTCACCTGAAGACTGGTGTTGCAGAGAATAAATGCATAGTTAATTGTTAGAACTTTGGCTTTTTACATTGGAAAGTATTTACCTTTAGAGAACCTTAAGCTGCTTCTTTAACGTTTACTCTTACCTTTAATCAAATGGGAAGGTTTTATATAACCATTAAACAAAAAAGTTGTGGTAAACAAGTTTATGGTATATTGGTACATAAAGGCTTTTAGCCTTTTTTAATATAATTTCCCTCTAGATAATAACATGCAATTGTTTTCTATCATTTCCCCAGACCCAGACCAAATGCCTTTAGGCAAAACTGGGGAGTACACATTTATTCTCTCACATTTCACTTAAGAAAAAAAATTGTTCTTTGTATAATGTAGTCATCATTTAGAGAACACATAAATCTTACAATGTTATTCCATTCATAGAGGTTTTTTTCCAAACTGCCATGCCAAATTAATCCCTGGTGCAATATTGTGTCACCAGTGAAGCTGTGCCACTTACTTGCTTGGACTCTTTAGTTTTAATTGAAAGATTTATCATTGCAGAGTTTCTTTGTCTTCTGTACATGCATCCTTAGAAACCCTGACTGTTTTGCTGTTATTGTCTCCTTTATATAGTTTATGCTTTCCTTCTTTTTTAATCATGGTTTCCTTTAATGGAACACACAGAAAGTTTTCTCGTATAAGAAAAATAAAAATTCCACTGTGATTTATACCTGACTCGTATAAATACAGTTATGCAACTTTATTTAGCTTTGTTGTGTTTATTACACTTAATTAAATAATTTGTTATTGATAATGAGTAATTTTGCAAGTTGTATTATAATAAAATGGAATAGCTTGTTCTTCCTCATACCAAGAATGTCCTAGGTGTTGGAATCATTGATGAACAGAGGTGGGGGTTTTAATTGCAAAGATCCAGGTTTGATGAATATTTTAAATACTTTGCAAGTGATACTGTACACAGAATATCCACAAGAGGGAACTGTTTTACATAGAGAGGAGCAATTTCCTTGCTGCTAAAACACTGTTTTCTGGAACCAAACCCTCCAGAATTATGTTGAGTTGGCATGATTGTGTCCTTGACTATGCTATATGGTAGCAACAGGAAAAATACAGGTAAGCACAGTGTTTGTTATGTTCTGTAAATAGTACTGTTAAATAAATTTTGAGCTCTTGTGTTGAAATATTAGATAGACAACTAATCTGAAAACTAATAAGTGAAAGTTTTCTGTTTGCTTGGAATAGATCTCTCCAGGAAACAGAGCTGGAAAATCCTGTTTAATCTGAAGGCAACACGAAATGCCATTGTTGCCTCAATAAATGAAGCAGGCTTTCTCAAATTCTGCTTTATAAAACCTACACTAGAAAGCAGGCCTTTTCTGATTCATAAAGGAGTAAGCTCAAATGGGATATTGTGAGGGATATTCATTCAAGGATCATTTGTGTCTACGAATAGGTGAACAAAATACAAAGTTACCTACTTTGCTTTGTCTTTCACAGATAATTCCTCTTAAACAAACTTTTCACTGGCAAGGTCTCACCAGTTGATATCAATATTTACTTTTTAGTGTGAGTTTCATCATAAATATTTGGAGAACTGAGCCATATTTATGTAAATAAAAGTTTTGTTTATATAGAGAACAGAAGAGGTTTTCCCCTGGATATATAGTGTGTATATAGCATATACATAGTATATGTAATGTTCGTGTTTGTTGGTTTATGAATAGTTTTTAACCATCAGAACTTAAAACAGCTTTTTACAAGTGATCACAATAAATCTCCTACCCTGTCTGTGTGTAAGTTTTGTGTGAACACGTTCAAATCAAATTATTTTAATATACAGACTATATTCTGTAGTGTTCTTGCTTTGTTTTAGTCTGAATTTTTCTTTAGGACTGTTCTTTGTGGGTACAGTGTTATGGGGATGATATTTTAGAAGTGCCTAATGATCCTGATCGCATCTGGACTGCTCTTCAAACCGGTGTCTGCAGCACTGAGCTGCAGCAGTACACAGTGTCAAATAAATACCTTTAAACCCATACCTGCTGAATGCATAAAGCAAGAAAACATATTTTGAGGCTGCAGCACCTCTGTCAAATCTTCTGGGCCATCTCAACAGCAAGAGAAGACATATGTCATGTCTGTGGCTTCAGAGACTCATCCCTTGTTATCTACCAGATCAGAATATATAAGAAATTTCATCATGCAAAAGCCTTCCCCGGGATATGCTGTGCAGCTGCTCTTCATTGTCCGAGTCTTTCAAAGTGCACAGGGTTTGTGGTTTCTATTAGCTGTAAGAGTGCCTGTAAGTACCTGGCGCTTCTGAAGATCAGACATCAAGTGGCTGTGTTACGATGCTCCTGCCCTTGTTCTGCTCCTGATGTTTGCTGATGGATAAAAGGATTCGTAGGTATGTGTGCAGCTGTGAAAAGGGTGCTGCTTGAACACCAACCCGGGAATGTCGAGCAAATGACCATCAGGACTAGGTTCTGAGCCCAGGACCCAAGGTATGTGATCCTGTCAGAACACTATTATGTGGCCCAGGTGGCTTTCTAGCTGTGGAGAGGGTTGGTAATGAAAAGACATGTGAGGGGGTATCAGCTGTGGCAGTGCAGTCTGGGGTTGCATGTGGCAGCTGTGACATGCAGTTTCTTTTCAATCTGACTTGTTTTCTGCATCTAGAAATCTTCATCTGACTATCTGTTTTCCTCCAGGATAGAGCAATATAGTATTTTTCTCACTTGTATACACCTCTATATTATTATCTTTCTCTATTCAGAGGCCTCTATTAAACCCCTCTTGAAAAAGGAAGCCTTCTCTTGAAGGAACAGACTGGAGGAACAGACTGGAGTGAGACATTATGATAAACTCATGGAGCTAGACAAATGGTGGTGTTATTGCATGAGAAAATTGAGGGTGAGAGGGCTAGAGAGCCCCATAAAAAGCTTTGGGAAGTTATAAAAACTCATTACCATCACTTAAGTAGAAACAAAAACAAACCCCAGATAGATGCAGAAACAGAAACCACTAGTAGTAAAGGTTAAGAGATTACTATTTCATAATGGTGGCTCTCTGCTGGTGTAGCGACTAGATAAGATGGGGGAATGTCACGCACACAAAGGCTGCTGTATTTTACCCTTGGAAAGCTGTCAAGAGGATCTGCATAATACTTTGTACTCAGTGAGCAGACCATGTGCCAAATGGAGATTTTGATTTATATATAAATAAATACATCTACAGACATATAAATTCCTCTGCTTTTCAACGTGAATCCGAAAAAAAAGGTAGGAGACAACTAGTCAGATTTTCTTGCTGGCTTGCCCTCTCCCCTCCCTCCCCAAGCGTGTAATTTTAAATTGCTATTTATATTTCTAAGGGTTAATTTCAGGAATGTTCTTGGGATGCGCGGCAATTTACGGTTTGCGTTTGCGGAGCGCGTTCGCAGTACTTCCCCGTGTCAATTAAAGATAATCCACGAATGCTTTTAGCGGAAAAAACCCCACGCCACGGTTCCCCGATGTTTATTTCACGCTCCCTTACCGCGTTTCCATGCCAGCCCCCCTCCCTCCCCCGCCGTGCGCATCCCCGGGCACCTGCTGCTGCAGCTCAACCTCCTCCCGCGGGCCCCGAGCGCGCCCCCCTGTCCCCCCTGCTCCCTTTCCCTGCCCCGCGGCTGCAGCCCCGGCCCCGAAGGCGCCGTTCCGGCCGGGCTGCGGAGGGGTCCCCGCGCTCGCCCATCGCAGCGGGGGAGGGATGCGGGAGATGGGATGCGGGAGATGGGATGCGGGAGATGTGCGCGGGGGCCCGGCGGGGGCCGGGGCCGTGACAGCGCCGTGCGTTGGCCGCTGCGTCATGACATCCTCCGAACCGGCCCCGCGCACGGCCGGCGCGGGGGGGCCGCCGCCGCCTGCCCCCGCCCCACCGCGGCTGCGGAGAGCGCGGAGAGCGCGGCGGCGATGGACGCGCCGGGGCCGGCGGGACTTGTTGGACAGGCAGCTCCCCGGCGCGGCCGGGCACCGCCTCGCCGCCACCTGTGAAGCGCCTCGGCGACACACAGCCCCCACCGCTCCCGCCTCGCCGTCCTCCGGAGCGGTCGCTCGGCGCCTCGGCGGCCCCGGGAGCGGGACCGAGCGGCCGCGGGGCGGGGAGCGCGGCGGGCGCTGCCCATGGGGCGCCGGGAGCCCGCCTGAGCCGGCACCCCCACCCGCGGCGGCAGCGGCAGCGCGGCACCCCCGGCCGGCCCGGCACCCCCGCCCCGCGGGGCCGTGGATGCGCCCCCGGAGGGGCCGCGGCTGCAGGAGCGGGGCCGTCGCGTCCCCCGGCGGCCGATAGGGAGGGGCGGGAGCCGGCGGCGCCGCTGCGCGTGTGGGAGCAACAGCCTGAGCGACAGCCGGGCCCTGGAGAGAGCTCCCGAAGGATGGGCGAGGAGGCGGCGGCAGCGCACGCACAGATGGGCCAGCGGAGGATGAATTAGGAGCCACAGGAGGCTGCTACCGGCACCGAGGGGGGAAGAGGAGAGGAAGGGGCTGGACTTGGAAGAGGAGGAGGAGGAGGGTGCGCGGGGGGGACTGAGTATCGCTAATAACAAGTTAAAGACTAATAACAATAATAACAGACCACCTCCGGGAGGATCCGCGGCGGAGGCTGAGTGAGGGATCCCCGCTGAGGGCAGCGGGGTCGCAGCGCTGGGTATCTTGGAGAGACGCTCCGAGGCATCAGTTTGTGGTGGTGGTGGATGATTTTTTTGGGGTGGGCGGGGTGGGGGCTGTGTATGCGGGAGAAGGAAGGGGTGGGAATCTGAGGAGGAGACTATATTTTTATTATTATTTTTAATTTTTTAACATTATTTTCACCGTACAACGAGGACGCTCGGAATTCACCGGCCTGACGGCTCCCGAGAGGGACCCGGGAATTGTGCGGTCGCTTTTCTTCACCTGCTCTTTTTTGTTTTCTTTGTTTTGTTTTGTTTGTTTGTTTTGATTGGGGGCTTTTTATTTTTTATTACTCTCCTTATCCGTTTCCCGCTGAGCAGCGGCGGCGGCAGCAGCAGCAATATGGCTGGTGATGGGTTTTTTGGGGGGCGCTGGCGGCGGGAGGAGCTCTCGGAAGCCCCTGCGCGCCCGGCTCGCTGTTAGCTATGGCAAATGGCAGCGGCGGCGGCTCCTACCCGGGCGGCAGCGGCGGCGGCGGCGGCATTAGAATGAGTAACAATATCAACGCCAACAATCTCAACACAGACTCGTCCTCCTCCCCCGTCAATGTGCCCAAGATGGATGCGCTCATCATCCCGGTGACCATGGAGGTGCCCTGCGATAGCCGCGGACAGCGCATGTGGTGGGCTTTCCTCGCCTCATCCATGGTTACTTTCTTTGGGGGACTGTTTATCATCCTGCTGTGGAGGACCCTCAAGTACCTGTGGACTGTCTGCTGCCACTGCGGGGTGAAAAACAAGGTAACTCCCCCTCCCTTTCCCCTTCTGCTGCCGGTGATGGTTTGGTGCGGTGTTGTTGGTGAGGAGGAGTAGTAGTAGGAGCCCAGCCTTGTAGACCAGGACACCTAGGCGAGGTGGCACTGGAGTGGACGCCAAAGGGCTATCGTTGGATGGCAGTGTGCTGTCTGCTCTTGTGGTACGGTTGCCGTGGGCTGTTGGGAGCCGTGGGGAGTGTGGCTGGAGGTTGTGAGGTGCTGGATGCAGTCCTGAGGCGTGTCCCTTTTCCCCCCATTCTGTTCCACATAGGGACTCATTCGTTTTCATCTGGTGGCACGAAAGTTGCACCTGGTGTTCCCTCACTCTCAGTGAGGCACATGCTGATGTAGTGGTACGGTGTGGATCAGAAGTTTATCTGCACCCCCGGGACCGCATGTGATGGCGGGGTAGGAGCTTGCCTTTGCTGATCTAAATTCTCAGTTCCCTTGTGGAATGAGAAACTTTGAGAAATTTACCTTTTCAATTTTGCCACTCAAGTAAATATTTTTAAAGCTAGCTGACAATCTTTGATGCTTCTGTTTGTTAAATTAAACGTGGCTATCTAGAGGTATTCAGTACATTCATAACACACTAGATCAGTATTCTCTTAACCGAAGTGTGAAGTCTTTGAGGCAACCTCACTGCCTCTTCGATTTTTATATATTCCCAGCTGGAAGAAAGCATGGTATGTGAAGGAAGTTCAGCTCCTGCTTTGAAGGGTCTCTTTTCAAACCAAAGCTAAGACTTGCTCAGGTCCACACTTTAGTTTTTGATTAAAACAAATGGGATAGAAAGTGTTAAGACTCTGTATTGTGAAAGTGGATTTTGACAGACCCCAAAATAGACCGGCAGCTGGAGTTTCTCCCCTTCCCTTTTCACATTTTTTGAATTACAAACAGAATAATATCTGCTTCAGTTATTCCTGGCACACAGACACCCACAAAAACACACACACCTTTTAATATATGGTTGCTAGGTTGCTGGCTTGCTTTGACATACAGTGAGCTGTCTCCCCCTTTCTCCTGTCCCCTCCCCCTTAAACACACTTGATACAGCACATAACCCTGCTGTACGAAGGGTCCAACATTTAGGGGAAAACCAGAAACAAAGTTAGAGCCTGAGAAGTTAAGGTACTTGTTTGTTGTGTAGTTTGGATTGCCTAAATGAACCTCCACATTCCAGTTGGAAGTTAAACTAATACAGTGAACTTGGCCTATGTATGGAAGGAGTGGTTGCTAGAGTTAAGCAATAAAAGCTTTTAAGTCAACCTTAAGCATCAGGAATCCTACCAGGCAGTACTACTTCTTTGTAGGCAATTTTTATTTCATTTCAAACCAAACCTGAACTTTCTTAGAGAGATGTCAGCCAGGTATGATGACACAGCTGTAATGAATTTGTGATAATAAGATACCAGTTCCTACAACAGTAAAAGGCAGTTTTCAAGAAAGGGTGAGTAGTTAAGACTTACCTTTGGTTTTTCTGAGTATTTAGCATTTTCTTCTCCGTGGAATGAGACAAATCTACAGGGGCTATCAGGGATCTGGATGAAAAAGAAAATTCTTCAAGTTATTACCTCATGCTTCTTTCCTTGAGAGAATGAAAAGTTACAAACTTGTACACAGACTTCTTTCATGTTGTGTCTTAGTGGGTATTGTTGATCAGATAATTCATTAGTAGGAGAACAGTTAAAGCAGTCAGTGATTTCTTAACTGGTATAGAAAGACATATCGCAATTGTCTTTAAAACCTCTTAGTCTAAATGTGTCAGTTTGGTAAGTAACAGGCATCATCGAGGGGTTCCAACACTTCCAGTTTGAATACTTTCACTTACTATTGCTGTGTCAGGTTGTAAGACTTGAGTTTATTTCATCTTTGAGACCTCAAGTAGTTCTCTGAACGTCATTCCCTGGGGCAGGAGGATAAAGGACTCTGCAGGTAGGGGGAGATATATGTCTCTTTTTAGATCCTATTTGTTCCACTTGTAAGGGTTTCCAAGACTCTGGTGAAGAAGAACTTTCAAGGGCTGATCCTGCATTCATTATGTGATAAAATGGGGAATTGGAGGGAATTCTCTGTATGCAAGAAGTAACTAGTTATTGCAAAACACTTTTCTAGTATTTAGGGTATAAAGGGTAACTGAAGTAACAGCTGGAAATGTCTTAAACTTTGCTTTTATCGAGCACATGCTCTGTGCTGCATGGTGACTTGGGAAAGGCTGCCGAGGCTGCCGGTGAAAAATGTGAATTCTTACATATGCTATGTCGACTCTTATTGGACCTGCTAGCAAAAGCATTTTTAGAAGAAGTAGCTCCTCCTACTGTGGGATTGAAGAAGTTTTCTGCATATTAGGACCTTTCCTTCCCTGTGCTGCCTCTTCTGCTGCTCCACAGGTTGCAGTGGAGTTGAGTTATCCAGCATCGTCTCATGAGCTACATAAAAAGCAGTCCCAGTGAGAGAACCAAAAGGAATCTTTCTCATGTCTACTTTTTGTGGCTTCTTATTGAATAATTCACATATGTATGTGAATAATTCAGAGTTACTGTGCTAACGCTCATGTCCATGTGTTATTGCAAGGAATTGCAAAAAGTTTCATTTTTTTCTCCCTGCTATTATTCTAAGCTTAACATTGTATTCCATGGATTTGTCAGTGATTGTCAACTTGACTTTATTATGTAACACTTTTTAATGACTACATAGAAGTGTTTAGGATGTGGTTTGTTGTGTTGTTTCTCCCTCTTTAACTCATTCAATTTAAGGTTGAAATTTAAAAACATGATATAAACAGTTTAACAATTTCCGGTATGAAATTTCAATACGATTTTTTCTTGGAGATAAGAAAGTCAAGATACTGTAAGTCAAGGATATGCAAACTGCTAACAGAATGATCAACATTTCCCCTTAAAGTTCCATATCTAATTTATGTAATTGTATATGAATAGAACATTACTCTTAATCATGTACTAAAAATGATTGCTGAGGTTTTAGGACTTTTGTGCTCCATACTTGCTTTGTGAGTTGACATTTTAAAAAAACTGTCAAAAAAAATGTAAATCTTGACCTGTGTTGTCAGTGTTTCATGTAATATGTCAGTCATTACAATTGAAGCTCTTGTATTTCTTTATTTAATATGTTATATAATTTTAGATGCAATTTTTCAAAATTAGCTACAGTCCAATGGCAAAGACTTAACAAAGGCTGTTTTTCTCCTCAGTGTTTACATCTGCATTTTTAGTGATGCCTAGATGTTTTTAAAGAACTTGTCTTGTCGTTGTTTTTTCTTTATCCCTTGACCAACTCATTTCTGTTTGTGTATGAAAAGTAGAATGTGAGATTGAACTTCATTGGGCTTGTCTCTAATACCATTAGTTGCTCTTGTTTGTGGCAGTAGCAGAAAAATAAAATAAATATGCACGGTGACATACACAGTAGACATAGAGGCTAAATGTGTATTATACAGTCTGTAGTTCTTTTGATTATATGGATCTCCCTCTGCATTTTCTATGCTCTTGAAGGGCATTTTCTACTGACATTATCTGATACCATATTTTGGCTTTGAACAAACTCTAAAGCATGAAGAGCGAGCAGTGGAATGCGAGAGCACAAGTCTGGGGCTCCTGGAGCTGGCCAGTGCAGAATGAAGTGGGATTTGTACCCTTCTGAAGAGTGTGATACCAGACCCTTTATCACTGCCCCTTGGTTCCCCAGTGAGTGATACCTCTTATGGACCTTATGTCATCGAGGCTCTAGCAGATACAGTGTATCCTTACTGCGATGCTTTCAGTGTTTTGAAGAGCTTTCCTTCCCCACAACCCAGGACTTGTACACATATAAAATGAAATTATGTTATGATTATGGACAGCAGTTGTTAGCCTGAATTTACAAGCTATAATAATTTTCTTTGACGCTGGTCTACATATTTTTGAAATCTAATAAATTATACAGATTTGGTCAGTAGAAACCAAGCAACGTTCTCATTTGTTTTGCATAGAAAAATTCTGTTTTTACCGGAAATACAATATTTGCAGAAGTCTTCTTTGAAAAGTTAAAAAAATTAACCCAGAACTCCAAAGCCTGAGAAAATTTGTAAATGGAAAAATTAAAGTTTTCCTAAAAGAGGCAGCAGTCATACCAAGCTGGCTCTCGTATATACCAGATCTCGTGATTTCCAAGCAGTACCCACATAAACATCCTCTCCAAATAAATAAACAAATTTGAGGCATGACATATTGAGAAAAGCAGGAGAGTACATTGGAAGACACATGTGGACACGTAACACAGGGGATCCATTCGTTTAGATCTGCACGTGGAAACCTCACCTTGACTCTCTTGAAGATGTACCGAGCAGCAGCGTATGATGAACAACTGGAAGGCTCAAGGGATTAGCAGTGGACTGTAATGCATTTTGCTTGTTAGTCACATGCACAGCCTGGCTCAGTCATCCCTGTCTCATGGCTATCAGGTGGTCTGTGCACAATTATTCTGCGTGAGTCCCCCTGGACAGGTTGCCAGTCGAGAGATGGCCATGGTGGAGAGGTCAAGTTCTGAGAGAAAAGGTAGTTGCAGCTTTTTGCAGATGCTGTTTCTACAAGTGAAAAAAGGCACCAATATGGAGAGGTGTACACTGCTGTTTTCCGTGCTGTGAAAAGGAAGATACTTTTGGCTCTCTGGAGCTCATAATGGATTTCACATTTTATAAAGACATGCTAAAATTGGTTATGGATGCAGAAAAGAAAAGGTATAGACAAGGATTCAAGCTGTAAAACAAACATTCTCTACCTAAATGTTATTTGGATACAGCATCATACTTATTTTCAAGGCTTTGCAACACATACATTTAAGGAGAAAATCTGCATTCAAAAAGAATATGCAACTCTCACACGTTTGCAAATCTGTAAATGCTGGTTGGAAACTATTAGATTTCACATTTTTTTCCAGTTTAGCTCAATAGAAGAAATGCCTATAATAGCAAACAGAAAGGTTTTAAGT